ATTAATAATATGTAAAATATGTTGATAATACTATTATTTATGGTAATATATAAGATACTGACATAAAATTATCATCATTATTATTATATCAACAAAAATTATATAATTATTGTATGAATTAATAATTCATACTAACTGTTAATAATTATGATTAGATTATAATATAATTTGTATTTTTTTGTTTATTATTTTAATAATAATAACAATAAAAATCTTGACTGAGGCTGTCAGAATTTATGCATTAAAGTTTAACTCACTGGTAAATAAAATGTGGAGACCGTGTAATCTCAGTTTGATGTCATATATAATAATATTTTAGGATGGATCTGGATCTTTGTGTCTCGTGAGCGATAAAATGTGGTGAAGTCCACTCTGCAAATAACAAGTCACGTGATTGTGTGGGAGAAATGTTAATGTCTTGACTCAAACTGCCACCTGTTAGTCTTCATATCACCACATGATTATTATCAGTATCAAATAACAGTTGCAGAGGCAGCAGTGACATCTGTGGCCCTGTGTTTAAAAGCAGGATCACTGTCACACACCTCAAGTCATGATTCACACCGGTGAGACCTGATCGTGGTCTTTACCAGCTGCACCTGAACGTCACATCGTTACCTGAAACTAAAGGTGGGTGTCTCCTCCTCTGTGGATGCCGCGCCCCTCCACACACACACACACACACACACACACACGGCATCTTCCAGGAAGAAACCCCGGAATAAAACCCGTCAGTCGGTGAATGAGCGGCTCCTCTCAGGTCTAAGGAGGATTTCCAGGAGCTGCTGTTGAGACGGACACACAGTCACCATGCTGATTAAAGAGTTGTGAGTATCTAACTTTGTCAAAGTATGTGTGTGTGTGTTGGTAAAGTGTTTGTGTTTGTATGTATGGTGGCCTCCCGGCGGCTCAGCACCTCAGCCTGGCTGTGTGAACTCACTGTGGACACTACGGAACTCCATAGAAACCTCTGGATGTTTTAACTTCAGTCGGTTGTTAGCAAAAGTGCGCACGCGTTAGACACAATATTTGGGGACTGGAGGTAATGTCGGCATAAATATGTTGAGCTATCGTTGTATATTTGAAACAGCGTTGTTGTTTAACTTTAAACGGTTTACAGTGCTCGCTACCGACCGAAGTTAACTAACTTTCTAACGTTAGCCTACACTGTAATTTGGTAGGAAGAGGGTCGCGAGAGGTGCGGCCAAACAACTTTCAGAGTTTAATTTCCATTGATTAACGTATTATTTGAGGTATTTAATAACGCCGAATTATATGTCAATGTCAATTGATAAGGCACGTTATAAATTAATATCTCATAATGCGTGTTTGTGGATTTATAAGGAATAGCATCTTTAAATTGCAATTTCTCGGGCGGGGTTCGTTTTTTTTCCCCAGCTTGGCAAATATCGGGGGCTTATGAGGTAAAGTAGGTTTTATTTACATAGCCAAATATCACAAATCACATATTTGCCTCAAAGGGCTTTATTTGCATTAATGAGCTTTTTATTTCTACATTCTTGCAAGTCTTTAGTCAGGCACTTTTATGACAGTGATATCATATGTTCACCAGTGCTGGAACACCATCCAGTAGCTGTCTGTCATCTGACCATGGTGCAAAGTACATTAAAGGTTAGCCATGTTAAACTATTATGCTCAAGAGGGAAAATAGTGCTTATAAAATATGATAAATGGACCATGGCTGGCATTTGTAAACGGTGCAGGCAAACCTAGATGTGTTTTTTATATCACCCCAGCCATCAAGTTCAAACCTGGGAGGCTCCTCTTTCACTCTGATCTGTTCTAATGAAATATTCAGGCCTTGCTAGACTGGCAACAGGTGCCGATTAATTGGCTATTGTATCAAGGCTCACCAGAGGAGGATACACACAAAGAACACACACATCCAGCGTTTCCACCAAAAGTTCCAGGTTTATTAGTTCTCTCTCTGCCGCGGTCTTGATTGCAGATTTATAATTTCCTCTTCCTGTTATCTATGTTCCTGTGATAATGGGACAACACCACAGAACTAACTGTCATGCTACTTCCCAGGGCTGATTATAGTATTTAACTATGAATCAATCAGTCCAGATACACTCTCTGAGGCAGTGTGCTGAGTAAAATCCTGCTGGTGGCGTTGTTATTGTGCCAGGTGTGAAAAAGCCAGAGCCTCACTGAGAAGAGACGTGTGTTGTGATCTTTGCTGTTTTCATGGCTGCATCTGAGAGACAACAGTGGTTTCATGAAGCAGTTGCTGAACAGACATGTTGAAATTGTCTATACTTCAGCTGACTGACCACTGGTTCATGTTCTTACTTCAGTTCGTCAGATTTCTCAACCAGAAAAACCTCTTGAGATTAAAATTTTCTTCTTCAAGAGTGTCAGGCAGCAACACAAGTTACGGACCGACGACATAGAACAAAAGTACAAAATAAAAAACATGCAGCTCTAAAACAAGTGATATAAAACACAGAATGAGATCACTACAAAGAGAAGCCAAAGAGTATGTTAATATATGCCATAAGTTGACCATAAAAACACGGGTAGCTACACATGATTATAAAGAGCTGCTAAAACACACCGGCAAAAATCTGGCAACAGTGCTTTGAAACAGCCGAGAGGAACCAATGAGTGCAACTTTAAGTCCTTCAAAAGATTCCATATACTTAAATGGTTTGCCAAACTCCCTGCGTATAGACACTAAAAATCAAATTTAAAAACCCACACCCACAAAATTAAGGCGCTGATTGGTTGAAGGAGCTCTCCTCTGATGTTACATATGACGTTCAGTTCAGTCATCATGAGGAGTCCACCGACACAGCCTGTGAAAACAGCTATACTCTGTCCTCTGCAGCTCTGGAGTGAGCTTTATAAAGGTGCTATTTAGAAAGCAGGGAGGGTCTAAAGAAAGACACCATTGAGTTGCATTATGGGAAGTGTAGGATCCAGCTTGAGCCTTGCTGAAGTAGAGATATCTTGGTGTCTGCTGATTTTGATTTTGACCATTTTTCTTCTCAATCTGTCTCTTGTGATTCTCTTTACTTCATGGAATTACAGTAACTCTTAAATGCATCTTTAATAATGCAGTGGGATCACTCCAGCCACAATACTGCGATCTGTGACTCAAATGTGGGCGGGGGGCGTAATGGTCCCTTCTTTAATTCCTACCTCCCTACCTCTGGCACTGATGCTCGAACCACACCCATTATCAAACTCAGTCTTCATTGTGACCTCAGCTACACACCTGTAAAGTTTAATTGGCGGCACAGTGGTGCAGTGGTTAGCATTGTCGCCTCACTACAAGGTTACAAGGGTGGGGGAGCCCTACGTGTAGAGTTTACATGTTCTCCCCATGTCAGCGTGGGTTTCCTCCAGGTGCTCCAGCTTCCTCCCACAGTCCAAAGACATGCAGGTTAATTGGTGACTCTAAATTGTCCGTAGGTGTGAATGTGAGTGTGAATGGTTGTCTGTCTCTATGTGTCAGCTCTGTGATAGTCTGGTGACCTGTCCAGGCTGAACCTCGCCTTTAATGTCAGCTGGGATAGGCTCAGTAGGTGTCACCAGGACCACACTTTGTCATGATGACACATACACAGACTCAAAGTGCAAACAATACCAGCCATCGCTATGTTGTTGTGTCTGTAAATGACTCAGTGGCATCACTTCAGAGGTTCCTGTGGATTAAAGCAGTAGTTTGATACACACACTTATTCTCTTTCTTGCCAAGAATTTGATGAGAAGATCGAGACCACTGACTGTTTGGAAAATATGAACCGTTAGGAGCAGCCAGCGGCAGGTTAGCGTAGTTGAGTTTAATATTACAAATACAAATGAAACTTTAACTAGCCTACTAGAAAAATATCATCAATTGCTTTTTCAGTCTATTAGATTGAAGTCTTATTAGATAAAACAGATGTCCACAAAGTTTTCCATTGGGGACAAATTTTACACTTGGAAAAAGGTGACAAATTGCAGTGTATTTTATGGCAATACTCAGCATATCCTAACATATTTAAAATCACAATAATAATAATGATACCGTAAAACCGTGTTATTTTCTGAGGCAGTTACCATAGAGTGAGAATCTCAAACAACTGTCCAAAGGTCAAGAAACTGTCGGCCATGCAGCGCCCCATGAAGCAGGGAAATTTCCTTTTTATACATAGATAATACATATTATGATTTGTACAAGGTTAGTCGTGATGCACTCTCACACAACAACACCCTCACTGTATTTTATTTCTACATGGCAGTAACTACCGGTAATTGTGCAATAACTGCTGTGGACAATTTGCTGATTCTGGCACTTTATAGCTGCCTCTAATATATGATACGCAATGTGTCCTCTTTCTCTTTTTATCTCTTCTGCACCAATCCGTAGTCGTACTCCAAATTTTGTTGAACCCTGCATAACACAATGACAAAAAAGGCTTTATAAGTTCTAAGTTAAGCAAACTAGTTATAACGTGATAGTCAAAACGCTTTAGAGGTGCTGGAAGGTCAGTTACGTTATCTTTGGACAGCCAGGCAAACTCTTTATGCTAAGCTTAGCCAATCTGGAAATCCATCGGTTTTAAAAAAAAAAAAAAAAAAAGGATTTTTGTATTGTTCCTTTACCTCTGAAGGCACTGCCCGTAGTTTTTCGACTAACGGAAGTGCAGGGGCCTCTGTGATCGCTCAACCCCTTCACTTCTGGCGGTGCCCCCAGGGAATCGCCTTGTTGTTTACAAATACTTCCAGGTAGAAAACCAGCAGAGTTTAGCTATTTTCACGTCATTTTTCACGTCACTATATCACCGTGTAGACTAATCTGATGTTTGTAAAGTCTATAAACACAATGATTGAACAAACTTTACTATTTCTGTGTGCACGTTTTGTAATTAATAACATGGTCATCATTAGCTGGGCTAACCGTTAGCTGTTAGCTCCGTTAGCGGTGTCTGTAGTAACTCAATAACTCAATAAATGGTCCGTGAAAAAAATATTTTTTCCAGCGGATATCTTAGTTACAACATGATTAAGCTAGCAAAGCAGTTTTGTGTTTCTATGTGTGGTATTTATTCAGTTTTGGGAAATCACGATGTCTAGAAAGCATCAGTGGCTGCAGCTGACAGGGACAGCTAACAGCAGCAGCAAAGCTAACATCAGGACGCCATCTGTTAAAAGCCTCCCGTTGTCAGATATGACATGAAACTACTCCAGTTAGCTCAATCATGTTGTAACTAAGACATCCGCTGGAAAAAAATTTTTTTTTTCACTTTGACGAGATGGCGTTTTGGGTGGAGTTGTCGCTATGGATGCTGAGCTTGCTGTTTCTGTAGGTACACATTTCCTGGGGACACCTGCACGTCTCGGCCACGCCCCCTCCATTGTGATTGGCTAAAGCGCAGCATCGTTCAAACTCAAACTCAGCCTTAGAGATAGGGTGAGGAGCTCGGAGTAGAGCCGCTGCTCCTTCACGTCAAAAGAGGTCAGTTGAGGTGGTTCAACATCTGATCAGGATCCTCCTGGGCGCCTCCTGTTAGAGGTGTTCTGGGCACGTCCCACTGGTAGGAGGCCCCGGGGCAGACCCAGAACACACTGGAGGGATTATATATCTCATCTGGCCTGGGAACACCTTGGGGTCCTCCAGGAGGAGCTGGAAAGTGTTGCTGGGGAGAGGGACGTCTGGGGTGCTTTGCTCAGCCTGCTGCCCCCACAACCCGGCTTCAGATAAGCGGATGAAAATGGATGGATGGATAGTGAGCTTTAGAGTTGCAGGAAGGTCGATTCTGTTATCTTTGGACGGCCAAGCCAAGCCTGTTTCCCCTTTTTCCACTCTTTATGCTAAGCTAACTGGCAGCAGGTTCATGGTGACATATTTACTGTACAGACATGACAGTGGTGACTCGGCAATAAAGTGAATTTCCCAAAATGTCCTAACACATCCTCATCCACTTATTGTAGGTCTGCGGTAGAGATGTCGTTGTGGTGTTGTCTGTTTTATTGTTTACTGTTGTTCTCTAATATCGTCTTGTTTTTTTCTCTGTCTCTTTCAGCCGAATTGTCCTGCCCATTTCAGTGGAGGAGGTAAGGACTCATTTTATTACTTTTATTGTGTCAATGAAATATAAATGTCCCAGATTGAGCTTAGATGGATAACATCAATTTAAAGTCCACTTGTCTGTCATACGAATGACAGATATAACCTAGAATATCTGCACAGATCATTCATTACAATCACAGTGACATAACATTTGAAGCACTTCAGCACACTGTCTTGGTGATTAATTGAACATTAAACATTTTATGGTGTAGGTTTGTATTTCACTGCTTACTTTGTGTAGCAGTAAATACTCTTTAGATTCTCATCGCTGGAATGCTGCTGCATGTGAACATAATTCGGTTATAATCGTGCATCTGATCTCACGGCCTGTAAACATGATAAAAGGCATGACGGAGCTGATGGGATTTTACACATACTACACTAAGTGGCTCTCTCTCGGCACACTATGTGCCCTGACATGTGTTAGCCGCTCTCAGGACTGTCACTTCAGGCTGCCTTTAGATGCCCTTGCAGTTGAAACACTTAGCTATCAGGTCCAGAATTTATTTAGCTGTGTTTAATCTACTGTACGATTGGTTGTTCCCACGTTATCAAGAGAGCAGGCTCTTTCCCTTTACCCTTCATCAGATTTCTGCTTTATTAAAGAACCATCAGTTTTTAATCAACCTCACTGCACTTGTTTGTGAACCACTTCCTTGGGTTTTTTTCTTTGCCCAGATGCTATTGGCTCATTCAACATTTTAATCCAAATGTTCCATACAACACTGTACTCTTTGTTGTTTTTCCGTTGCTCAACACAAAGCAGGAGCCAGTATTTCACTAAGCCACATGACATGTATGACCGGCTTTTCCTCTGATCCCTCTCAGTGAGAAGCAGGAGCTGGATTCCTGTGTTGGTTGAGTAACACAGTCACAATTGTTAGAGCTGGATCAAATCTGGAGGAAATAGGAGAGAGCTCTATAGTCTGTGACATTAATCTGCACGTCCTGTCATATGTGAAAGTGTTGCATAACTTGTAATGGACTTTTTTTGACTGCTGACATTTTATAGATGGAGTAAATCGATTAAATGGTTACTCCTGCAGTTTAGTGTTGTTTAGTGCACTTACATTAAGTTCTCAAAAAAAAAAAAAAAAAGATTTGAAAAAGAGCAGCAGAGGCCCAGATATCCTGACCTTCAGTCACTAGTGTGGGTCAGACTCCAGAAACACTGCATCCTGTTAATGCAGGGGTGTCCAGACTTTTTTGAGTGGGACTCAGCTGCATCTTGCATCATATCCCAGGTAGCCAGAATTACCTGGCCCAGAAACAGCCTGAGCTCGGCACTCAGCAGAAATAAGTTAGGCCACATTCAGCTGCCTGATTCGGCTTAGACTCTGGATCAGTGAAGCAAAGAAATGAGCAAAGCAAAGTGGCCCACTTCTGGCTGCCGACACTGCCATTACTGGGCCATTATTAAAAACACCCTGGCTGAGCATTGGCCCAAACTCGGCATGCTGTAAGTAATATGTCACACTACACCTGGTTGCTCAACTCCGCTGAGACTTGGGATGAATGACGCCCCAGAATTGGGCAAAAAAAGTGCCCCACCTACAGCTGCCGACACTGCCATCACTAGGCTCTTATCAAAAATGACCTGGCCCAGCATCGGCCCAAACTCTGCAAGCCCTAAGAAACAAGTCAGGCTGCATTTGGTTGCCCGATTCAGCAGACACTCAGGTTGAATGACGCCCCAGAATTTGGCAAATAAAGTGGCCCACTTCCAGCTGCTGACACTACCATCACTAGGCTGTAATCAAAAATGACCTGGCCCAGCATCAGCCCAAACTCGACACACAAAAAGAAATGAGTCAGCCTGCATTCGGCTGCCCGATTCATCAGAAATTCCAGGTGAATGACGCCCCACAATTGGGCCAAATAAAATGGCCCACTTCCGGCTGCTGATGCTCAGCCCATACTCGGAACACCAGAGTTGGGCTACACCCAGTTGCTCGACTCAGCTGAGACTCGACATGAATGACGCTGCAGAATCAGGCCAAATAAACTGGCCCGATTCCGGCTGGTGGCGCTGCCATCAGTGAGATGGGTTATTTTAAAAAATCACATTCAAATAACAAAAGCAACTGTTTTTGAGTGGTTTGGAGTGAAAAAGTATTCAGATTTCCAAAAGTCTTGAAAACAGCTATCCTTAGTGTCAACTTCACACTTCTTTTGTTAAGGCCATGTCTGAAATATCTGGTGTTAAGTAATTATTTCCTTGTTTACGGTCGGTTGGCGTAGTTCCTACTTGGTGCATGTCTACAAACTGAACGACAGTCCTGCCATTGTCAGGTGAATTAAAAATAATGCAAACTGATCCTCCCTCATGGACCAGTATCGTGTTAATTAGAGAGTATATTCTGACAGACAAGCCCAGGGCTGTTTAATATCGATCTGCAGGCCAGACTGAACTTTGGACACAACTACATTAATGCAACTCAATGACATTGGTATTCATTTACATCTTTCACACCCCAGCAGCATAAGATTTTATCCCAGTGACTGTGACCATTTTATAAAACGTTCGTTTTAGTCCACACCTTTTTTTCGTCCATTAAACACATGATGTGGACCAGCAGGTTGACTTTTTCTCTGACAAACTTGACAGACAGAGCACTTTGCCTCGACATGTTTAGCCCAGTACTGAGGACCACCTTCGGTCAGGTTCAGCCTGTTTTTGTTTGCAGCCGTGTGTTGTGTTCCCGCCCTCGAGCTTCTCCTAAAGGCCTGCATTACGTCTGACTGTACTTGACAATGAGAAGACACACTGGTTTTACACGACAAGTCGCATTCCTGAGTTCCAGCTCACAGCGGCGAAGGCTGAGCATCCACAGATACCAAAACAGGTTACTTAGCTGTAGAAGTGCTGTGTCACCGGGGAGAGAAAGGGCTCTGCGTCATTCAGCTGCAAGGTTTTTGTCCAAATACACTACAGTGGATGTGTCACTAACTGTCACCCAATACATCCAGTAATCATATAGAAGAGACAAAGATAACAACCGGTTTATCAGCAGAAACCTCCCCCAGAATGCAAAGCAACCTGCATCTTTGTGTCACAGATAGAGTGTGAAAAAGTTTCCAGTGTCTTTTGTGAAGTAAATGCATTGCAGCATTGTCATCTACCATTTTGGCAAATGTAGGAACTGATCTTCACCTGGAAAACCCTGGAAACCACTGGAGTTTCACAATCTCAATTTCCAGGCCTGCAAAAGTCACAGAGTTAGTAAAAGTCATCAGGAGTTTTGTATTGTTGTAATCAGGGATGCACCGACATAGGTTTTTCCTACCAATAACCAATAATTACCTGCTCCTCATGGAGTCATAACCATGACCACTTTCATAAACACACACAGGTGCCGTCTCACCGTTCCACGACTGACTAGTCTACAGCTACCATGTAGAATAGCAATGTGCTATTGGTTCACCTCACACATTAACACTCAACTCGGACAAACAAGCGGCTGTGTCTCACACACACGTAGCCCGGGTGGGAACGATACAAATGATCGGTTATCAATAATTTTAACAACAGTCGAGTCTTTTGAAGGCTCAGTGTTGTTAGCCGCTGCTGCTAATTAGCTCGTGCTAACACTCTGGAGACGTCCTTCACCGCTGAGTTTGTCTGTTTAACAGCTGCCGAAAGTTTGTTGATCTGGTGGGGTGGCAGGCAGTTGGAAATCAGATCCTTGGCGCAATCCCGTTGTCTTTCTCTGGAACGTGAAAGACATCCACACGGTGACATGTTTTGCCCTCTAAACAACATGCTGAACTTCTTCTCTGTGTTAATTGGTGACTTGTAAACCAAGTTTACAAGTTTACAAGGCTAAGCCTTCTGCTGTTACATGTTACCTGTATATGTGACGTAGTGTGCCGGTGTTTGTTGCGGGAAGTGAGACTCTTGGTTAGTTTGGGTCCTTGAAAAGTCATGGAAAAGTCTGAAATTCTGTCCATGAAAATGTGTTCAGTGTTTTAGCGTTGCCTGACACATCCTCTGGGCTACTTCATAAACATTTTGTGTGTGTGTGTGTGTGTGTGTGTGAAGTAGGAGTGTGTGGGACTGGCCAGTAATGTGAGTCACTGTTTCCAGTGTCACAGCACTTTTGCCTGACTCAGGAAGGGTTTGAATTGTGGGGGGTTGGATGAGGAAGAAGAAGAGGAAGTGAGGGGGGGTGAAGGTTAAGAAAAGGCTTACTCTGCTTGTTTTCTGATGCTGAAGTCTGGGACACCTACAGGAAAATGGTTAACTCGAGGCCACTTCCATGAATGGTTAACTGAGGCTGTGACAGACTGATTCTCAACAGGGGTCTTTAAACTCACCTTTCCATTCTGTTGTGTCTCTCTGGGGTTATTAATATAGATTTATTTTTATTTAGCCAGTTATATAGTTGTTTGGAGAAACACTGGAGTTGACTTTATTGATACGAGTGAGGATGGAGAAGCTGTCAGCAGGTTCCATTTAAAGCAGAGCAGTTTATTGTCAGAGGCAGGGTAGTTAAATATTCAGTGTGTGTGTGTGTGTGTGTGTGTGTGTGCGTGTGGTTTTAACTCTGCAAAACAAACTTACTAACAATAAACCAAGACATCTACTAGTGTTATGTAAGGATAAGGTTCCTCTCCAGGCAGGAGTGTTTGTTTCACTCTCCCTTCCTCAGGTGGGTCATGCGATCTTTTTTGAGATCTCTTCCTGGGGACTTTTAACAATAGTAGTGTAACAACACCTCTGTATTTTTATTAGAAAATAAAAAGGCACTATGATTAAACTTCTGACACGGAAATTATTTAGGAAGAAATCGTTTGAAATCCCACTTTCTCCTCTGTAAATTCACCACTTCAAGCAGAAGAGAGAAGATAATGGTGGAAAGCTTCGCCTCCTCTGATGCTGCTGCATCACGTCTGCAGCTGTCTGTGCTGTGAAAATCAAGAGTGCTTACCCCACAGAAAAATCTGGCGACCAAAATGCCCCTAGAAGTACACTGCACAGCATAATGACAAAAAAAACCAACTGCTCGCCTTGAAGCAATCTCAGTCGACTGAGGGGTCTTTGACTGACGATTCAAATCTCCGACTGTCAAGAGGCAGCCCTAAACATAGCGCAGCTTTAAGGTCATGTCAAAAGATTTGTTGTTTTGAGCAGTCCCAAAGCATCATTCAGGATGAGACAACTGATTTCACTGTTGTATAAATGTGTCTGTTAACTGTGCTCTCCTCTTTTGTCCCTCCAGTACCAAGTGGGTCAGCTGTACGCAGTAGCAGAGGCCAGTAAGAATGAGACGGGTGGAGGAGAAGGTGTGGAGGTGTTGGAAAACAGGCCCTACGAGAATGAGGATGGAGAGAAGGGGCAGTACACCCACAAGATCTACCACCTGAAGAGGTAGGCAGCTCAGCACTGTCGTTTTGTTACTGGTGTCTCAAAGACAAGACAGCCTGTTTTTGGTCAAGGGTGAAAAGTTTGGCATGTTTAATCACTCTGCGAGCTGAGCCAGTGATTCCAGTGAGACAAAGGGATTTTTGGTTTAAATGTTGTGTGACCAGGAGGCACAGTGTACTTATGTCACACTGCAAACATCATAGGACATCATACAGGGTTCCCACGGTCATGGAAAACCTGGAAAAGTTGCAGAATTTTACAATCTCTAATCTGAAAGACATTGTTCAGGGGGCGCAGTGTGATGCAGTCTCCCAGTAGTGAAATGAATGTAAGCTATTTAAGGTAAAGGTATTGAAATGGACTTGCAAAACGATTAAAATTTCAGGGTTCCCACGGTCAAGAAATTTCACAATCTGATTTCCCAGGCCTTGAAAAGGCATCTAATTAGTAAAAGTCCATGAAAGTTTTGGAAAACTTTGGATAACCTTCCACGTAATGGTACGTAACGGCAAATTTGTCAGTTAGCCGTTAATATAACGTAGTTTCAATATGCGTCAACTTAGGGCTGCATGATATATTGTTTGATTATCGACACTGTGATGTGCAGTAGTCGCATTGAAGGACGTGCAATGAAGGCAAATTAACTCAAAAGATTGATTTGATGAAGAAGACCCTGAGATACTTGAACTCCTTTGGTTGGGGCAGTAACTCACCCCCAACCGGGGCAGTCCACGTTTTACCAGCAGAGAACCATGACCTCAGACTTGGAGGTGCTGACTCTCATCCTGACCGCTTCACACTCGAGTCGTGAAGGTAGAACGGAGCGTGAGATGGATTGGCAGTTTGGTTCAGCATCTACAGTGATGCAGGCGCTGGTGAAGGGGAAGCTGAGCAAGAAGGCGAAGCTTTTGATTTACTGGTCCATCTACATCCCAACCCTCACCTATGGTCATGGGCTCTGGGTAGTGACTGAAAAAATGAGGTCATCGAAATGAGTTTCCTCTGTGGAGTGGCTGGGCTCAGCCTTAAAGATAGAGTGAGGAGCTCGAACATCTGGAGGGAGCTCTCTACAGATGTCCTAGCTCCTTACCCTTCGCATCGAAAGGGGTCAGTTGAGGTGGCTTGGGCATCTGATCAGGATCCTCCTGGGTGCCTCCTGTTGGAGGTGTTCCCGGCCCATCCAAATGGTAGGAGGCCCCGGGGCAGACCCAGAACACACTGGAGGGATTATATATCTCATCTGGTCTGGGAACTCCTTGGGGTCCTCCAGGAGGAGCTGGAAAGTGTTGCTGGGGAGAGGGACGTCTGGAATACTTTGCTCGGCCTGCTGCCCCGTGACCTGGCTGTGGATAAGCGGTTGAAAATGGATGGATGGAATTTATTTGATGCTTGAGGTGAATGGAAATGTCTGCTTTCAGACGTTATGTGTATATGTGACGTAGTGTGGTGGCGTTTGTTCCAGGAAGTGAGACTCTCCTGCATGTGTGTGTGTAGAAAAGTCCTGCAACCAGGCCGGCAAGTGCAGCAGACACAAGTGAAGTGCATGTTTTTCTGGGTCCTTGAAAAGTCATGAAAAAGCTTTGAAATTTTTTCCATGAAAATGTGTGGGAACCCTGATTGTAGGATTACAGTGGAAAAGCAATGAACAGGAAAGTGAGGCTATGAAAACTATAAAGTTGTACCTACTGTGTCTTATATTTCTGTATGTGTGTCTGTGAATACATTCACTACAGGAATGTGTGTTTTGTGTTTGTGTATACTTCTGTGACCCCATCAATCCATGTTTGTGTCTCTGCAGTAAAGTGCCAGCTATTATCCGCAAGCTTGCTCCAAAAGGTTCTCTGGAGGTTCACGAGAAGGCCTGGAACGCATATCCTTACTGTAAAACTGGTGAGTCCCACCTCATACATGTTTGGGGACAATGAAAAACACTGTATACAGGTTAGCAGCCCGTCCTCCATCAGTGCCTTGTGGTCCCATTATACAGACCAACCCCAGCTGTGTGTAACTGTGCACAGTTACAGTGTGTTGTTGAATTTCACCAATGAAAAGCTTGATGCTTACAATCTGTTTATTATCTAAAACCTCTCCTCTCTTTCCATCTCCGCCCCCCTTCTCTGCTCTTCAGTCCTTACAGTGAGTATTTTGTTTTTCACTTTTTATTGTAACTATGACCCTCTTTATGACTGTAAGGAGCTGAGTTTAAACTGTGTTCAGTGTTTAACTTAACATGATGAAAGATAAGCTGAGTTGGACGACAGCGCAGTGATGAGCACAGTGATAGGATTCTTGACTGATCATGCATCTCTCCCATGCTTACAGAATGTGTACATGAATGACAACTTTGAGATTAAGATTGAGACGTGGCACAAACCTGATATGGGGGACCAGAATAATGTAAGTCATGTGACCCTCCATGTAGGTTAAGAAAATCCATTACAGGTAAAGTCGTGCATGCCTGAAGAATTATGCGGGATTTATACTTCTGCATTAAACTGACGCCGTACCCTTCGCTGTAGCCTGACGTGCACTTCCCCAGAAATGTAACTTCACGTCGCAGTGTAAGCTGAAACCATTTCCCTCAGTGGAAACAAAACTTTGATTTACTTTTTATTTGATTTACTTTAATTTGAAGACAATAAAGCCTCCACAAAAATAGCATTTTAAGTCCTGTGTGTGATTTATCCTGGCTTCATATGAGCAGAGGAAAACTCTGCTAACTGCTAGGCTAATTTATACAATGTAAAATGCCATAGACTTGTGCTAATAACGTTAGCATGTTGTATTTGTTTGGAAAACTTGTTTAGTATAAGACAGTTGTTTTGTCAGTGAACCTTGTGAGCTGTAATGGAGCCAAATTTTGTAACGTTACCTTTGTTAAATGTTGCTGTTGTCCCTGGCTTCGTATGAGTAGAGGAAAAGCTCGCTAGCTGCTAGGCTAATTTATACAATGTAAAATGCCATAGGCTTGTGCTAATAACGTTAGCATGTTGTATTTGTGGGGAAAATGTGTCCAGATAAAGACAAGTGTTTGTCTGTGAATGCTGCGAGTTACAGTGAAGCTGATTTGAGTTCTTGTGTTTGAAACTGTCTCTATTAAGCCATGTTTAATGTGTGTTTAACATGTGTTTAATGTGTGTTTAATGTGTGTTTAATGTGTGTTTAACATGTGTTTAGAAGCAACTAATCTTTACAGCACTTCACAGAAACCCCACCGCCGACTAGTGTCTTGGAGGTGTAACTGCAGAATGACACAGACACCATTGCACAAGTATAAATGCTCACAACGGCGTAGGCCACGTGCGTAGGCTACAGCGAAGGCTCTGCATAGAGCTGACACACGAGTATAAATCCTGCTTCAGACTTACTGTTGAGAAATATGCATTTTGGTTGTTAAGGGATGGTAATTAAAATAACTGTGCTGTTTTACTGCTGTGGATACAAAACTTAAAACAGTGGAAACCTCTTGTAATCACGTCTGTCTGGGTCAAATTGATCAATGTATGTGAATATATACATGAAGTCTGATATGTGTTTCCTGCTGTTACCAAACAATCATTCTCAGAACCCATCGGCTGTATTCGGTGTCTGACTTCCGGCAGATGGTGATACAGCCTCTGGGGGCAGACCCCCAATTTGGCATTCCGGTTTGATTTGGGCGGAGGAGGCGAATTTCCGTTTCCGACTTCCGTTTATTTATAAGTAAATATGCTGAACCATTGCGATGGATTCAGAGTTTGCAGTGACGCCAATTATGTTCTGCCTCGTAAGTTCACCGCACGGACCGTTTAACCTAGCAACAACTGCAGCCGGCTCAAACGTGATTGGTCAATATCACGCGGACTACAAACAGCCTACAACCGGAAACCAGGGCTCATCCGCTCTTCTTCCGGAGGCAAGATCTCTGGGGTTTGCCTACAGACTCTACATTCACTGAATGTAGAGTCTGTATATAGAGACTACCAAACACCTGACCTAACTTGATGGTTTGATTTTGTCTCGCTGCAGGTACACGGACTAGATGAAGGCACATGGAAATCAGTGGAAGTAGTTAACATTGACATTGCTGACAGGAGTTCCATAGATGCAAAGGTAAGAACAAACCAGTGTCCCTGCAGATCCTAAAAAAGGCTCCACGCCAGCAATAGCCTTGGCTGTTAATTGAGCTGCAGCATATATAACTAATATTAGCTTGTTTCATATTTGTCATGGCTGCACTGAATATCATTGTACTTGTTTCACCCATTCTTTAAGGACTACAACCCAGAACAAGATCCAGCCATCTTTAAGTCAAAGGAGACAGGTCGAGGGCCGTTGGGACCTGGGTGGAAGGTACTACACCTGCTATCACTCTTCACTGTGGCTCACAAATGATTTGAGTTCAAAGGCCTGGAGAGTTCATGTTCTCTGTGCATCTGTGTGTTTGCAGAAAGAACTCGCCAACAACCCCGACTGTCCTCACATGTGTGCCTATAAGCTCGCCTCTGTTAATTTCAAGTGGAAGATAATAGGGAGCACTGTGGAGGGTGTGATTCAGAAGGTATACAATTAGAGGAAATATTCACAATATACTTCACACTTGCTCCACAGATGTAATTATTTAGACATTAGATTAAAACAAAAAACTTGCAACTGCTGCCTTTTGTGAAGATGAATTACAAGTAACTCTAGCATGTCTATGCTGTAGACTGTCCAGATGTTACAATTACTGACATTTCTGAATCGATGGTGATTCGCCCATGTCTGCATCACAATGCATCTAAGAATCTATAATTCTTCCCCACCTCTAATATATATATGCTACACAGTATTCGTGACTATTATTTAATCTGTCCTGTCCCTCTGCCACTGTGTGTCCTCACGCTGTCGTTCTCACACTCCCGCCCTGTCTCTGCAGATAGAGAAACGCATCTTCACCCACTTCCACAGACAACTGTTCTGCTGGATCGACAAATGGATCCATCTGACGATGGACGACATACGGCGCATGGAGGAGGAGACAAAGGCGGAGCTGGATGAGGTGACTGAGCGCAGTACACTGTACACTGCACCACTGTTTCAGGACAGAGCAGTGATGCCTTTAGTGCAGGGGTGTTCTGATGACTGAGTGCCTATTTAGGGAGCTCGCATATGATTGAGGGCATCGCAGGAAATGCGCAGTTGCAAGTTGTCCACTGAAATCGCTAGCTTTAGCTAACAGCTCTAGCACTGATGACAGATATGCTCATCAGGATGCAGTTTGATGCAGGCCTCGAGAAGTCAAAGAAATATAAGCTATTTGAAGTCAAAGTATTGAAATGGACTGCAAATGATAAAAATACAGAGTTCCTATGGTCATGGAAAATCTGGTAAGGTCATGGAATTTCACAGTCTCATTTTCCAGGCCTGGAAAAGTCATTTAATTAGTGGGTGATGGCGAAGAAAGTATTCACGCTTCACACTTGCCCTCAACGGTTATGGAAATGAATGAATTGTTTTGGCTATTGTTTAGAATATATTCATTGAAACTACAAAACATGTCTAACATTGAGTGAAATTCGTTCCTTGTATTCATTCATTCATTCATTCATATATTTCCATAACCACTGGTTGGGGGTCACAGGTGTACTGGAGCCTTTCCCAGCTGACACTGGGCGAGAGGCAGGGTACACTCTGGACAGGTCACCAGACTATCACAGGGCTGACACATTAGCCGCTTTTACACTGCCAGATTTTTGGCGAATTTTGGGCCATTTTGCCGGCAAGCTGCGAGCGTTTAGACACACAGAGCCAGATTGGCGAGTTGATCCAAGGTGCCCAATTTTTCACTTCGTAGGGTAGACATATTGGTGGAACCCTTTTAGTTTAAACAGACCGAGGCGGCCTTCCGCAATGGGAGGGGCTGTCGAAGACTTGTGGGAGGAGCTGTTGATGACGCCGCATGTGCGAGCCACTGGCGGTGGATAAACAGGAAACAGCTGATAGCAGGAATTAGCGAGCAGATAGTAGCAAGAGGGAAATACAAACCTGACAGACACTGTAAAGATGAGCAACTGGGGAGACAACGAATTGCGTGCCCTCAGATGACGGGGATGGTGAAGGACGGGCCGACTTACGAGAGAATCGCCGAAGGACTGACCAGCCGCTGCTTCCCTCCCACATCACTGTTTACGTCACACGCTGAGCTACATGTTTTGTTACTTGCTCACGCCCCCCATTGCCCCGAAAAAGGCGCATTCTGTATAAACAAAAGTAGGTAGGCGGCATTTTGCTGCACTCCCTGATTTTGTTTTTATACTGCCAATGCTGAAAAAAGACTGATTGGGCTTTCCTGCAAATTTGCACAATTCCTATCTAAAAAGGGCTCATGGGACAGACAACCATTCACACTCACATTCACACCTACGGACAATTTAGAGTCACCAATTAACCTGCATGTCTTTGGACTGTGGGAGGAAGCTGGAGTACCTGGAGGAAACCCACGCTGACACAGGGAGAACATGCAAACACAGAGGGGCTCCCCCACCTCAGGGTTCGGACCCCCAACTCTGGGTTCAAACCAGGAACCCTCTCTGCGTGTCTGTGTCTATGTGTTTGCCCATATTAAATAAGTGAACTCTACTGTGAATGCTGGTGTTCTAGGGTTGCAAACCTATCTCAGAAAATATCGTGGTTTCACAATATTACAGAATTTATCTTATTATCAGTCAGAGTGACCCTTAAAGGATGAAAACAGGCAGGTTATTGTTGGTTGAACAAATGTTTTATTACTATAACTGAAACTTGAATTCATTTTGTTAATGGAAGTTTGTGTAAAAAGTCTCCTCTTTGAAAATAACTAGAACAAAGGGAGACTCTTCGTCCAGTCGCATTTTTTTTTTTTCAATATCGTAAATAAGCAAACATCAACTTTTACATCGCAGTATACCTTGAAACCGGTGTATCTTTGCAACCCTACAGTGTTCTATCTGTATTCTGATCTTTGCCAGCACGGTGCACCTTTTTTATACGGTCTAAGATTTTCTGAGTTGTGCGCACTGCTATTTTTCATCACATCTCTGTTCACGTCTCACTAACACGTCTCTTAATGTCACAGATGAGGAAGAACGATGAAGTCAGGGGCATGGGAGCTGAAGGCAACTGATGACACCTGACTGGCTAACCCAGTGAGTATTAAACACTTGTTCTGGTCAGATCTAACATTTGTAAATTTGGATTTATCGTCTCTAACTTGTTCTGTCTCCTCTTCAGATCACTCCCTGATGAAGGAGGATGTGACTTCAGCCAGTGAGCTCAGAGTCTTCTCCTTGGATGCTGGACCGAGAGCAGCTTGATAGGCATAATCAAGAATACCACGCTTAGATACTAATAAAATTTGCTCTTAATAAGAGCTCCTTATTGTAAAGCAGTTGTGTGTATTTATCTACGACATGTGAATACAACTACAGTAGCGTTTAGGTTTGTTTTTTTTAAGGGACAAGTTTGCAAGTTGGGGAATCTGTTCTTGCTTATGCCTATTTAGTCCTCTTGAGTTTTACATTAGGGGAAAGGTTGTGGGTGTTCGCTGAGGAAATGTTTCTGACTACTGGCGTCCTTTTAATTGCAGTTATTTGGGTTGTGTTCGTTATCTGATTTTGTATTTTCTCAGTGGTTTATTGTTTGTTTTACTCCACTCCTGTCTGTATCCATAAAAGCTCCGGTCACTAGGATCTTACAGACCTTCTGTCTTTATAATAATTTACCAAAATGAAACAGACTAAACTGGTTTTGAGAAAATTCTTAATTTTTCTCGCCCCACAATCTGTACTTTGGCTCTGTTCTGTCAAACTGTTAAATTCCTCCACCCTTAAAGTTTCCTTAATGTGATTTGATTCATCATAACATGCTGGCTGGGGCATTGCAATAAAAATACAGCTTATGATTTACCTAAAAAACATATGAGGTGTTTACTTTGAAAAGACTCCATGAAAGGCATGTGGTATAACTCCAGAGTGGCGGTACTCCTGGTCCGACTGCACCTGCTGTGTGTCAGGTGGTTGGTTTAGCTTCAGACAAAGACGCCAGCTGCTGTTTTGTAATTAAAGCTTTGGTTTAGGTTTTGCGTGTTGGTGATGATGATGATGATGTGTAAGAAGAAGCTGAACTCAAAATGATCGACACGAGCAGTTCTGTCTTGAGTTTAGGAGTTAGGTCGACATCATTGTGAGTCTTGTCCTGTGTTGAATGAATTAACCTGGGTTTTAATGTTATGAGTTGTATGATTGTGTAGTATATTAAAGACAATGTATTTGTTCATGGCTTTGTGTACTTCTGTGCTTCTGCTGGAAAAACTGGTCGATATTAGTGAACAAGCATCACATCCACTGGTAGTGCTTTGGATTACAGACTGAAGAAGATGCGCTGATGATGTGCTGCAGTCACAAATTATTACTTAAATCAGAAGAAACGTCCAGCGTCTAAAATAAAATTCTAAATTAAAGCCGGTGATAGCCGTAGCTGGAGGCATTATGTTTTCAGGTTGTCTGTCCCATCTTTGTAAATTATATCCCAATAATGCCTTTAGGGAATTTCCTCAAATGTTGCACAAACATCCACTTAGATAACCAATGAACTGATTAGAATTAGGTGGTCAAAGGTTGAGGCCACTTTGACCTTGGGTCCTTCTCATTCTCGTGAACATGATATGAAAACACCTCGAGGGAATTTCTTCAAATTTGGCATAACATTAACTTGACATCAATGATTAACTGAAAAGATTTTGTCGGTCAAAAAATCAAGGTCACTGTGACCTTTGGCCTTTCTGCCTATCCACTTCCACTCACGCTGAGTGTCCGCCACATTGAGTTTTGTCCCAAACCAACTAGTGTGGAGTGGAAGTGAGTTATAAAACCCTCCAGTAGTGAGCCTGCACTGATGCCGACTTACTGACCGTGTGCAACACTATTGTGTCCATCACAGAAGATGCTCCATATAAATAAAGTTCAGTGACTATCCCTACAAACCTAACCTGCTCTCACTAAGATAGACATTTATATGCCTGCTGTCATAAGGCTGTAAACATCTTAAAGGTTATATTGTATAAAGGATAAAATATATCCTTCTCTAGTCTCTAGAAAAGAGTCGAAAAGAGTTCATTTGTTTGTAGTGCTGAGTATTTAAGAACGTTACAAAAACCAAGCAGCGTCTAAACATCAGAGTGACAATACAACAATGTATGTTTTATATATAAAAGTTATCAAGTCATTTCTTTTAATGATAAAAACATAATATGAAAAAATAAGGCAAACAATAGCAGCACATACAGATTAAATATAAGTGCAACAAATACATATGAAGAACATAAAATTGGATTAAGCTTTGTTTTTCTCCATGGATACCAAAAGTTATGAAAGCTCCTTTTTCCACCACAGAGAGGGAAGTTTGTCCCAAACTTTGCTGCTGTGTTTACACCCTACAGCTGTGAAGGTTTTGGAAAGGCCCCTTGTCCATCTCATTTTTGTTTACACGATATCCCAAGAACACCTCACGGGAATTTCTTTAAATTTGACACAAACGTGTACCTGGAATGAAAAATAAATTGATTCGAATTTTGTGATCAAAGGTCAAAGGTCAGTGTGACCACAAAATGTATTTGGCCATAACTTGAAGGGACAAAACTTCAAACAAATTTCTAATAGGATAAAATAATGAAGTGATGAGGTTTTATATCCAAAAGGTCAAAGGTCGACTACACTGCAACATCATACTATTCTGCAAAAGCTCTGATAACTCTGAACACTGATATTTTTCATGTTATATTCTCTCTAGAGAAAAGTAATGTCATTATCAATACAACACATATTTTTAAATACATTTTTAAGAAGTTGTTTAAGTTAGACATTTTCATATGTGTATTTTTAGATATTAAAAGCTATCCCTTAACATTATACAAACCAAACCAAACGAAACATGAGTCACTGACCTGTGTTTGGAGTAATTATATATGTCTTGTCAGGATTTAGGAATATATTAAAAGGATGCACTTCACAAGACATAAAACATTGTTTAATTCAAGTTAAAATATTTCTAACTACTGACAGATCAAAAGAGAGGTGTGAAGTTACATAAAATGCCTTAAAATCAACCACATTTAACTTTTGAAAAGTTTTATTTGACAGTGTGGCAGTAATGACCTTATATTGCTGACATCTGGGGAAAATTGTTAAATAGATAAATCTTTCTCAAAGTGACGTGTACATCCATGTACAGATGATGGATCCTGCCAAAATGACAATAAAGTTTAGGTGGATAATTAAAGGTTTTATGAGATTTCATTTTTGAGAACTTAAGAATCCACAAATTTCCGACATCAAATAAGCACATAATAATTCAAATTTAATTATAAGATATCCAGGCATTGTCTTAAAACTCGTGTTTCCTCGGCAGTAACAAAATAAGCACAAATCATGGACACGATACGAACAAAAATTACAGAAATTTTGTTCGTATATCACTTCCGGTATGAGACCCAGCATGGCGGTTTTATTTTGAAGGCGTATAACTCGTTTTCCGGTGAAGGGGCGGGAACAACTATGACAACAACACCAGTGCTGTCAGGCTGCTGCTGAGTGAGTGTACGCTGAGCATCTCTCTGCGAGTAGGAAGAGAAACTACGCTAAAAAGTACCACCAAAGCATCTCAGGTAGTGACGATAAAACACCCTCATTTATACAGGTTATTTATTCGAGTGTTACAGATAAAATAAGCTAGTTTTAGCAAGCTGCGCGATGTAGCTAGCTTTACTGTTCGCGTTTAACTACACTAAGTTACTAGCTACAATGCTAACAACATGTCAACACTACAACAGCGGGGCATGATGGTATCGTTAGCTGTGTGCAGTTAGCTCGATAAATAAACCAGAGATGATGTTAGCTATGTCAGCTAACGTTAGCAGATACATTTTGTAGTCAATATTCAGTCCTAACCTAAAGTAGAGGCTTGAATTAGCAGTGTTAGCCTCGTGTTAGTGTTTTAGATACTGTCAGATTTATGAGCGTTTTGACTTTGTTCAGGTGAAATCAGTGTCCAGCTGTAGCTGTACCGCCACTGTACCGTTACAGCGGGTTTTCTTCACTGTCTTCCAGCTGTGGAGATGATGGAGGAGAATGAGAAGCAGTCAGACCTCAGTGTGATGGAGGGGAACAACGATGGAGACAGCTTCAGGTTGGACTCTGCTCATTGCTCTGATCCGATCATTGTCGCATCCAACAATGTATTGGCACTTTATATAAATCACGCACGGACACAGTGTGTTGTGTAATATCATGCAGCTTCATTGAGGGTCCCCGCCCACCATTATTACAACTATAGGCTGAAAATACCTGTAGTAATTGCTCGATTGGCTTTATAAGTGTTCCTAGATAAAGCTGTGATATGCCAGGTTTTATCAGGGTTATAAAAAGATGTGAAGTCTAGCAGTCTCTGACATGTTGCAGTAACATTAATACATATTCATGTGTAACTAATGCTGACTACATGTAAACAGATGCAGTTTTGTTGTTTGTACACGGGGTGGCGCACTAGAGCAGGAAAACGCAGGTAATATAGATAGTGTGCAGGTGATGAGCGGCAGGTGTGTGACGGGGGAAGTAAACAGGTTTTGGAAGGTGTTAAGCGTGTCAACATGACAAGTTTGTAGTGTGTAGAAACAAGGGATTTAGATAAATGTTGATTATTTCCTCCAAATATTGCATCTGAGAGTAGCCGATGCCAACAGATTCAACAAGCTGATCAGAAAGGCCAGTGACGTTGTGGGGGTGGAGCTGGACCCTTTGACAGCAGTGTCAGACAGGAGGATGCTGTCAAAGGTGCGGGCGATACTTCAGCATGGCTCTCACCCTCTCCACAACGCTCTGGTCGAACAGAGGAGCACCTTCAGCCAGAGACTGATTGCTCCTAAATGCACCACTGAGCGCCACAGGAAGTCATTCTTACCTGTGGCCATTAAACTGTACAACTCCTCCCTCTGATGATCGGACTCATTTGGCTATTTATAAAACAAAACACACAATATAATTACTCATTCGTATTTCATTTATAATGCTACAACCATTTCATTGTATATTGTATATATTTCAGATTGTCTACTTTACTATTTTATTATTTATTTTATTTTATTGTCTACTTTAATATTTTATTTTATTTTAATGTCTACTTTAATATTTTATTTTATTTATTTCATTGTCTATTTTAGTATCTTATTTATATCTTCATCTTTATCTCTTGTTTCCATTCATGCTGTATTTCTATTTCTACTTTGCAAGGAGCATTGGAACAAAAACAATTTCCCCCCGGGGATTAATAAAGTATTCTGAATCTGAATCTGAATGATCACTAACATTAGGTGGGGAAAAAGTTGATATTTCGGTATCGGTTATCAGCCAAATGAGTTGTTACATATTGGCATATTGGATATCGGAAGAAAATCCATTGTTGTGCATACCTAAATCATACCTACCTCAAAGGCTTGGTTTTTTTTTTTATAAATTCACTGTTGTCTTCTCCCTGATGCTTATCCACTGTTCACAAGCTCTTTGGTAGGTTTAACTGCGTACTTTTCTAACGCAGGACGAGACTGTTTAGCAGAGAGTGAAGGCTCTGTCAGTATAGCTTGTGTTCTAGTCTTCACTGTGCCCTCATCCTCTGAGATTGTTTTTTTAAGTTAGTATCTCCAATAATAACCCAGATCTTTAAAATAACAATTTAATTTAGTTTTCTTCACAGAAATCATTGAAACTAGTCCATACCCATTGGCAGCTTTGTCCCCTTCTACCTATGCCAGTCCTCAATGCCTATGTGCAGTTTCACATAGATTGACCACATCAGTGAGTAGAAAAACGTGGGACAGACAGAATGACTGACTGACAGAATGACACACTGACAGTTTCCGTGATTATGTACAGCATACCATACCATGACTTAGTCATACCAAACATTAGAAAAACAACACAAACATTGGTCCACAGGGGGAGCCACAGCGATCGGTCGCATTTTAGCCATTTTGAAGCATTTTTCTGTTGTTATAGCGCCACCCAGTTGCCAATTAGAGTTAAATTTCTCCAGTCACCTTGAGGCGTCCTGTTCTACATATCTACCAAGTTTAGTAAAAATCCATATGGCGGTTAGGCCTAGATAAGAAATGAGCTCTCTAGCGCCCCCATTTTGTTTGATAGGGTCAATAATGGAGGGGTCCCCTCAGATTATGTGTGGTCATATGCCTACAAAGTTGCGTGGTGATGGGTGAAGTTTTAGTTTTTTTCAGTTTTAGTAAGTTTTCCAACTTTTGCCAAGAGGGAACTTTAGATATTGGTCCCTAGATTATGTTCACCCAGTTTCATGCAGATCACTCAAACTTCCTAGGAAGAGATCCATTTGAAGTGTTTTTCAAAACATTCAAAATGGCGGAAAATCTATATAAGCGGAAGTTATGGGTTCTTGAGGCAAATGTGTTCCTCATGAGGAGAGGCATCTCTGTGCAAAGTTTCATGTCTCTACGACATACGGGGCATGAGATATGCCCATTCAAAGTTTGACATTTCAATCGGTTGCTATAACGCCCCCCTTTGGCCAATTGATGTAATATTGCTTCATTGGCATCCTCCCATGACCCTCTACCACTGTGCCAAATTTCACATGGATTGATCAAGTCAGTGAGGAGAAAAACGTGGAACACACACACACACACACACACACAGAGTTTTCGTCATTATATAGTAAGATGCTGAGATAAAGGCCTCATTTTTAAAGAAGTTTTTTGAAATCAAGAAAGCCTCGTGATCTCTAATAGGGGTGTAGACCCTGAGGCTGGGAACCAGTGCACTAGATAATCATCATATCCATAGGGGGGTGAGTGCTGGTGTATATGTACAAGTGTGTGCATGGTAAGAGGATATAGACTAAATTATTGCACAGCTGTACTGTCCCAGCCAGATAACGGTTGGGCTTACTGCTCATAAAAGTAATGACGTGTAATTTGAAGTGTGTGTCTGGGAAAAGCTCCTGGGCCGTGGTTAATTTAACTCCTGTGGTCTTTTCTGCAATACCAGTGGTAGATTTGAGGCTCTTGCATTGTGCTGTTTGGTTGTTGAGCCACACCAGACTGTGGTCAGTTCATGTTACGGGGGGGTGGAGTGATGAGGAGAGGACAGACTCACTGACTGCTTGACCTTAAGTTGCTGTTGCATAGTGGGATGAACGCTTAACTTCTTTCCTGTATACTCCAGGGGAACTTTTTTGTGTATAAAACCAATGATCAGTGTCATTAGAGCTGTAGAGAAGCTCATTTACAATGGAAAGTGGGTCATGATACAATCTATATATTGTGTAACATAGTATGTAAGAGCTAGTCCAGACATCTCCTCCTGGACACTGTGTTGTTTTTGTAGACAGTTTTGCATTGCCATTTTGAGGCAGAGATGACACTGTCAAAATTTGGCTCCAAAGTCAGTCAGAAAGACGTGCTTTACAATGTCGACATTAATCCTCACTTCTTTTCTCTTCACCTCTTTATGGCTCCAATCACACAGAAAGCATTTTAGCAGCTGGAGGCAGCTTTTTGTAATTGTTTTTAATGAGAATTAACCTTTTTGCTCGCTGTTTTCACATTGCTACGCGCCTGGGTTTTCTGTGCTCTAGGCGCCTGGCATCTTTGCCGGAGCGCTCTGAACTCCTTGATTTGGAAAAGCGCCCCACGTCATCTCTGCTTTTTTCCCATTGTCTGATCCAATGATTTGAGAGGCGGGGCTTCTGTGGTGGTCACGACAACAAGTTTACAGTTGGTAAACAATGGAGGAGAAACTGGTGGTAGTGGTTGCTGGATACCCAGAGCTATACGACTTTACAAACCACGGTTAGCACCATCTCAATAGAGATGGACCAACTGGTGGTACTCCCCATGATCCACCCTCTTTTTTAGGGTCTCATGTACCCACACAGATCTCTGTTTATCTGCTGACAGCCTCTCACCCTCAACCAGAGCTACAGACAGTACCCTCTGCCTCAACATGTCAGCAACTACACACTGATTGCTGTGAAATTAGTAGGCAGTCTAAGCGAGCCAAAATAAATGGTAGATTGATTACACTTACATTTCTAGTACATTTACAGTTCGTTTACAGTTTACAGCTGCTTCTCAGTCATTAAATTAAAGGTGTGTCACCAGCAGTTGACTAAATCTTTGTGCAGCTGGTACCAGACCTCCAAGAATTTCCTCAAAGCATAATTGTCTGTCCCATTTAGAGTGGACTAAACACAGCCCACTGTTTGCCAGTCTATAAATCTGCCTGCACTCTGGCAGGTGGATTAGGTTGCCCAACGGTTTACACATAATACGGATTTTAGAAAAATAAAACAAGTGTTGCTAGCCTGGCTGAGGAAAGGGCAGCCGGGTGCTCAGCAGAGGGTCGGAGATTTTATGTTCCCACATACCAGCTGGTTTCCCAATTTTCTAATAGGCCTAATGTTGAGACATTTTCCAATGAGATTATACGTAGTTTTTAGTACACAAAGAAGACTTGTAGACAAATTAACCAATTACCCAAACACTCAGTCCAACTCTGGAGCACACAGATCCTCAGCCAGGACTTTCCTCATTACGTTGATTTGATTCAACAGAAACAACCAAAGCTTCGGACCACATTTGATTCTCCTCGCGCTGTCCAGACATACTTAAAACTGACTTATACACTGCCAACAATTTTGGACCTATAGAAGGCACTTTTTGCTTTCATATTCTGTAATTTCAACAACACTCAGACCCTGCTGCATTTAACACTTGGAGCAAGAATGGATGAAATCCGTCAGCTGTTAGGCACCATGGGGCGCGTCCGCTCTGACAGCCTCTCCAGCGATGCCACGCAGTCAACAGGCAGCAAACTGCTTCTGCGCCATCGGCTGAACCAGCTGATGACATGCATGGATGACTTGGACCCCAAAAGCGAGCTACATGAGAAAATGGTCAAGAGTCTGGATAACGTCTTCCTTGTCTTTGGCAAGAGAGCCAACAAGCCCAGAAAGCACAGTTTCAGGTGGAGAACTAATGTCACCTCTTGGTTTGTCTTTTCTGTGTGCTGAAGCTGGAGGAAGAGTTTGTATTTTTGTCCTCTATCTCCTTTAATTCACCTCTGTGCTCTTTTCTTTTTTGCTTCTCTCTTATAGCTTGTGCTTCATGGATTTGTCCCCTGTGGTTTGAGTGCCAACAAAAGACGCTCTTGATCCTTGTCAGTTTAAAACCCTCCAGTAGAACTTTGTCCTTTTGGATTTCTGTCATTCATTTGTCGTAGCTGAGCACAGGAAGTTCATCCATATTAATGTTGTGAGTTTGGATGACTGGTTTCATTATGTGTTAACCATAGAGGCCTGATGTGTTTATGGTGGTGACACAGTGCTTATGCTGTAACAGCTTTACGCTCAGATGATATGCTCATCTTTGGGTTTAGCTGCACTGAATGAAGCTCTGTGATTGTCATTGCGGCTGGATGTGTTTCAGTCATGAGGTCGTCCTGTATATTTTAAACATATCATGTCAGTTCTAAACATCTGTCCAGCTATTATTTATTAGTGGAATGTGTATATTTTTGTAATAAAGTGCTGCAAAGGTGACTATTTTTCTGTCACCACAGGCTTCACATGGTGACGTGGAACGTGGCCACAGCTGATCCTCCAGACGACCTGACCGTGCTTCTCCATCTGAACTCCCCAAAGAGCCCAGACCTCTACGTCATCGGGTAGGTGGTGCAGGGAGTGTGAATTGATTGGTAGGGTGTGTGTGTGACGGGATGTGGGGCAGAGCGACTGATGATTAAGACTGTGTGTGTGTGTATGTGTGTTAGTCTGCAGGAGGTGTACTCGGGGCCTTTGAGGTTTGTGTCTGACAGTGTATTCGATGACCCGTGGAGTCATCTGTTTATGACCACCTTGGGACCACGGAAATACATTAAGGTACAGATCTTCTTCATACACATGCGCACACATCAGGCGACTTCTGTTTTCACAGGGAAACAAAAAGAAATTGATCTTTCAAGTGTTAGTTTTTATTGTAAATGTTAAGTATTATGTTGCGCTGTCTTTACTTTGTGTGTGTTTCAGGTGTCATCCATCAGAATGCAGGGTCTGCTGCTGCTCTTCTTCTCCAAGCTGGACCACGTCCCCTTCATCAGAGACATCCAGGCCACATACACACGCACAGGCATTTTCGGTTACTGGGTGAGAAACATACACACACACAGGAAGCCACTGACTGAAGGTGGATTTATACTTGTGCGTGAGCTCAATGCAGAGCCTACACTGTAGCCTACGCTGTTGTGAGCATTTATACTTGTGTGTTGGTGTGTCTGTGTCACTCTGCAGTTACACCTCCAAAACACTATTTGGCGGTCGGGTTTCTTTGAAGTGCTGTAAAGTTTAGTTGATTCAAAACACACGTTAAACACACGTTAAACACACGTTAAACACACATTAAACATGGTTTAATAGAGACAGTTTCAAACACAAGTACACAAATCAGCTTCACTATAACTCGCAGCATTCACAGACAAACACTTGTCTTTATCTGGACACATTTTCCCCACAAATACAACATGCTAACGTTATTAGCACAAGCCTATGGCATTTTACATTGTATAAATTAGCCTAGCGTCTAGCGATCTTTTCCTTTTCTCATATAAAGCCAGGGACAACAGCAACATTTAACAAAGGTAACGTTACAAAATTCGGCTCCATTACAACTCACAAGGTTCACTGACAAAACAACTGTCTTATACTAAACACGTTTTCCAAGCGAATACAACATGCTAACGTTATTAGCACAAGCCTATGGCATTTTACATTGTATAAATTAGCTTAGCAGCTTTGACTGACTTTTCCTCTGCTCATATGAAGCCAGGATAAATCACACACAAGACTTAAAATGCTATTTTTGTGGAGGCTTTATTGTCTTCACAGTTTACTGCTTGGCTGCAAACAGCTTCCTCTGGAGCCACTAAAGGCTTTATATGACTTTTCTACATATGCAGTAGTACTACCCAGCTCACCGCACTGTAAAATCAGTTCCCCTTTTAATCAGGAATAGAATAAAATGTGTCAATAACACATCCCACTTTGTGTGTCACGTTTGTGAACTGAGCCACAGAAGCAGAAGTAAATGTTTGACTTTTTTCCCCCAAAGTGTCAAAAAATAACTCTGAGTTCTTTCTGCACTCGTCATAAGTTGCTCATTTTGTCTTTAGTTTCTGTGTCAGTTGTAAAAGAATTGGTTAGTTTTTCACATATCTCAACAACTGTATGAAAAGTGCAGAGTGGTTCAACAGACCTCATCTCTTCCTGTTTGTCTCTCAGGGTAACAAAGGTGGCGTGTCCATCCGTCTGTCTTTCTACGGCCACATGCTGTGTTTCCTCAACTGTCACCTGGCTGCACACATGAAATACGCCACAGAGAGAGTGGACGAGTTCGAGTACATCCTGGACACACAGACCTTTGACTGTAAGAAGGCTCCAACAATTGTTGACCACAGGTGAGCAGATACACAGACCCCAAACTCCAGTTTACCCAAACACACAAAATCTGTACAGTCAAACATTCATGTTCTTAATTCTCAGTGTTTCTCATTTCTTTATCCATCAACTGATTTCTCTTGCTGTCCATCGTCTCTCTCTGCTCTCTCTCTCTCTGGGCTCAGGCTGGTCTTCTGGTTTGGAGATCTTAACTTCAGAATTCAGGACCACGGCATGCACTTTGTCCGCTCCTGTATCAACAACCAAACGTTCAGCCTGCTGTGGAGCAAAGACCAGGTTTGACCCTCACAGAATCATTCAGCTGGGTACAGCATAATTAACTCCCGTCCATATGCTCTTTTATAGTCGTGTTTGTGTTTTATTCTTATTTTAGACCTCGTATTATTTATTTATTTAAATTTCTCTATCTGTGTTGCTGTCCTTATACTGCTGAAATAATCAAATATTCTCTCTGGCGGTCAATAAAAGTTTATCTGATCTTAAATGAGGGTTCATTTGAGTCCCGGCACAACACTTTATTATTTGTGTGTGAGTAACCAGAATCATGGCTCATTAGTGTGTTTGTGATTTGGGAGTTTGGGAGGTTTTGAAATGTGTGTGTTGTCGTTCTAAGTTGACCATGATGAAGAAGAAAGAACAGCTGCTCCAGGAGTTTGAAGAAGGACCTCTGGACTTTCAACCCACGTACAAGTTTGACTTGAACTCCAACACTTATGACAGCAGGTAACGTTTCCAAGTATAAACAAGAAGTCATCATCTTAATCAGTCTTACTGAATCATGATCATACTTTTAAAATCAATTTTCATCTCCAGTACTTTCCTCTTAAAATATGAATTTGATATTTTATTAGAGATACTAGATAAACATATTTTATTGATGCCTTTTCCACCTTCACAGGGTCTACAGGACTTGGTTTGGCTTTAAGTAAGAGTCAGAACACATTTGTGTTCACATTAATAAATCACGTCACCCCTTTTTTAATTCACCTAACTGCACTTTTAACAAGACGCTAAAAGTAGGGTCCCTTTTTTTTTTACAGGGTGTCTGCAGGTCCTTAATTTGGGTGTCGATTTATAAACTGTAGGCCTTAAAAAGTAATTAAATAGTCCTAAATTTTATTTTGAGAAGTCTTCTTTGCCACTAGTAGTTTATCTGATTTTATTTATCCATCTTTTAATTTCTCCTTGTCAAAATAAGTTGAGCAGCTTGTCTCATATCACATACTTCTGTACTAAACACTTTAATATTTTGAGTGTGTAAGTATGAAGTGCATTCTGCATAGTACGGGAAAATGCAGTGTACTACTGGCGCGCTCAAAACGGTCCAAAAGTTAATTGTGGAAGGATGGACACTTCTCACTCTCAACGATCTTTGTGACATAGTGGAAGCTACGTCACAAACTTCTCAACTTTTGACATGGCGACTGGGGACAACAAGGAGCCTGTTAGATGTACATGTTTTTGCACTAAGTACCAAAACTGTTGTCAATTGGAAGCCGTCAGTAATGTTTGTCGGGTCTGTTCTGATTTTGCACCGCAAACAATAATGTGAGTGCCGTTGTTAGCTTGCTAGCTAACATTAGCATTTGTTAGGTAGCTAACTTGCTCCTAGCTGAGTCTTTAATCGCCTGGAAAACTCGACGTCTGGTGCTGGATGCTACTTTTTTGCCTTTTCTGTACCAGCTTTCAAGAGCGTGGCGGCAAGTTGCGTCTGAGGTTGCCAAGCAACCTTAATGAGCACCATATCATAGCCTAGTTACCTGAAATCCTGAGTGCAGAGCCGATCTTCTTCCAGTAGCTGTTTATCAGTGTCAAGGCCTACCGTCTGTGGGACAGATGTAAAGCTCTTGGCACACCTGCTGCACGTCTATATTGAAAACAATTAATTTTAGGGCGCAAAAACGCAGCATGTGTACATCCCCTTTGTCAACACTGATGTTGTGGTGTAAGTTTGGTTTATGTGTGGGTGGAGATAGCAGTCAAATGTTGGCGATAATGCTCCACAGTTTCAAACAGAGACTAAGTTGAAGAAACAGTTTTAAAAAAAGCTGTCATCACTTCCTGTAAGTGTAGAACGGCAGTGCACAATTTGAGATAACACTACCCTGATGAAATTAGCACACTATGCAGGAAATATGTAGTGTAAGTAGTGTCCTACACTGAAGTGTACCAACAGAAGTATGTGATTTGAGACATACTCGAGTTCCTCTGCGTGAAAGACAACATCTCTGATGTTACAAATGTTTAAACCTACAGCTAAACCTAAGACTGTCTTTTTACGCCGTACTTGTACTTAACCTGTCTGCAAAATATAGATTAAATAACTCACTGTAATAACCACATTCCTACATAAGACCTACCTCTGCACGGGACCACATATAAACTACTCACCTTTATCTTTACCTGCAGTGATTCGATGCTTGAAGAATAAGATGATTTTCCAAAAAGCCGTCTTAAATTTGATTTAAAATTATACCTGTAGACACCCTGTTTTATGCAGTATAGTAACTTTAAGTGTTACCCACTTCTCAAAGGCTGAATTAAGATGATCTTCATCTGTAAACAAACAAGCAGGTGGAGCGAACAGTCTTTTTTAAGACAAATGTCAGATTGTCTGTGCAAAGAAAAGACTGAAATGCTTGTTTATTTTATTTAATGTTGTTTTGGGGGCCAGTGATATCGCTGTTAAAGGTATCCTGTGGAGTTTTTATCAACTGGTGGCACGATGGAGAAATGTTTTTTGAGCAGAAACCCTGTTTTGTATCATTGTCATGCACATGTGGACACAGGAGTGTTTTACATTCCTACTGACAGTTTCACATTATTCTTCTGATCCTGTGAGTTTCATGCTTCTGACAGTTTGCAGGGTTACAGTAATGCACCAAGAAATGTAGCGATGCAACATGCAGGGACTTAAAAGACTTGAAACATGTTTTATGAGGAAGAAAAGACATTCAACACATTTGTTTTGCCTAAAATACACTTAGAAAATTACACTGAATATAAATATAACTGCGTGTGTGTCCAAAAAACTCCAAAGGGTACTTTTAAATGGCGAAATATCAGTAGTAAACATTAACTGTCATTTAACCTCCAGTGTGTTAAAACCATCCTGCTGCTTCCAGTGCTTGTTCACATAATAGCCAGTGTGCACACCTCTGTGGGTCCCAGAACAACTGCTGCATAACAGCTAACATGCATGGCCAGGAATAGATGTTACGGTAACACAGGAGCTATGACTGTGGATCATTCAATATGTGTGTGTGTATCACTCAGAGGTTGCTAGAAGACAACAGCTGATGTGTAGTGTGAGACAAACTTTCTTTTTTGTTTGTGTTTGTCCCGTTGTGATCATTCTGTGTCCCCACTCTGAACTGAGTCTGTGTCAGCAGCTATTTGGTGTGGTGAGACACAAATAAATGAACGTGTGGGAAACCGTGGTCCTTAGCACATGGACTAAAGTGTATGGTGTAAGTGCTTTGAGGGCGTGTCCAACCACTTTTGCAACTTAAACTGTGCGTAACCATCCCACAGAGTCTGGTGCAAGGGGAAAAGGAGTTGTATTTAGTTCCTTAATTAATCATAGGTGTGTTTTGGGCTTAACATGAATTCAATCAATCAGAGTGTTTTCTCCCGCTCCCTTTAAAAGCCAGGTGTGCCGTGCATGCACCTGGCGCACTGCTATTGACATGGCAGACTTGGCAAATTGAAGGAGCGAGTGTTTTTCTGCTGAGTAATGCAGGAAGAGCAGCGCTGTCACTGCAGCAAATATCGTGGGACATTTAAGCAGCAAAACTAAAACCTAGTTTTAAACGTGACAGAGGAAACAGAGCTAAATTTTTAGCTTCTGAAATCAGTGACGTTACACCGCTTCCTGTCTTTGAACGAGCACAGTGTCTCTCTTAATGTGGAGTCGGACAGCAGCTCTGCAGCTCTGCTATGTTCACATGTTAGAGAATGTAATTAATGTTTTCCTCATTAATGATGTGTCATTTCATCCACCCACAACCCATCTGCTCGTTCCTGTGTGTGTAACAAGTGCAGGCGCCTAGGTGCATCTTACTATATAAATATTATGTCCTTTAAGTAGAAGGAAAATACTGTGCTCCTGACTTTAGACCAGGGTTTTGTTAGTCAGTGGTTCAGTCACAAAATACACCAACAATGCACCTGATCACACCTCGTCTAAGACCTACAGGCCCATGGGTGCACAGATGGGTGCGTGGACATTTGCTCCTTACACAGCGTGGGCTGACCGTGAACGTGACAACTGCGTCGGTGTGAGACTAGCCATGAGAGCTGCTGTGTGTCTGGAGATGTGGCGAGAAACACATTTTGTATTATCAGACAAAATGTATCACAAACTTCAGACTGCATGAACAAACTGAACCTTCACCTGCTGTGCTTTATGTTCTCTGTGTGTAGATGCCACACTTTGTTTCTCGTCAACATTATAAACCTTTATATTTCCTGCTTTTCCCCTTCTTTTCCATCCATCACCTCCTTCACCTCACATCACCCTTTATTCCTGCTATAAAGAGTCGTCTCTGGCTGCTGACTCCGTCTTTCCTCTCTCTCCCCTCTCTGTACACACACGTCCAGCGGGAAGAAGCGTAAACCCGCCTGGACCGACAGGATTCTGTGGCGGCTCCGACCCAAAGCCCCGCCCCCTGACGAGCCAGATGACGGTGGGGTCGGACCAGATGTGAAGAAGGCCGTGCATGTGGAGGAGGATGAGGAGTACCCTCTGAAGGTCAGGCAGGAGTTGTACACCAGCAACATGGAGTACAGCATCAGTGATCACAAACCTGTCGTCAGCATCTTCACGCTGGAGGTGAGACACTGGAACGCTGAGAATGACACGGACACACCTGTTTAACCTGTCTCACACACCCTTAATCCTGAGTGACATGTTCCTGTCAAACACACACACTGTAGTTTATTTTGAATCAGTCCACAACCTCTGACAACACGGTTTATTCTGTTTTTGAGAAACTTTGGCTAAAAACAGAAACAAAGTGTAAGAAAATTAAAGTTTATATTTATGACATGTTTTTAAAATTGAGATGAAATTCCTTTTTAACCCTTTCAGATCACATCCCAATCATGTTTTCTTCCTGTAAAACAAATATGACCTCTGCTTACATAAGCCAGTACCAACCAGTTTCTACATGACATCCAGCCGTCATTCAAACTGCAACTGTTAGCTGCACAGAGCCAAGATTAAGTTAGCTAGCTACGTCAGTGTGTCCTCATTTCCTTCGATCAGACAGGGTGTTTAAAAACTAATTAATGTGGAGGTTGAACTGAAAGTGAGCACATCTGCATGTTGGGATTAATCCCTCCACAGTCACTGTTTTCTTGCACAGAAATATACTGGCTTCAACCAAAGTAAGGACTGTACGTCAAAGTAAAAACTCTGGTGGATGTTGCAATGAACAGTTTAGGTAGAAATCTTAATTTTCTCCTCTTAATAAGTTTGGCTGACCTGTGGGTTTGTTTGACACTGATCTCATCGTCTGATCACTCCTGTTTCTGTCCCCTGTTGGACTTCTTATAAGCAATGTCACCTCGTTCCCAAATCTTTTACTTGGTAAGCTATCACAGCTGATAGAAACTGTGGCCAAACCTACGAAAATAAGGTCTGAATTTTGATGACACGATTAGATGACAGATGTATTTTCCAGTTTATTTGTGTATCATTTACCTCCAACAGCCAGGATGATTTATCTTGTGAACTTTATTTCTCCGTCTGTCCAGCTGAGGAAGATGATCGAGACTCCTCTGGTGCGTCTGCAGGCGGAGGGCGACTGGAGCGCAGACATTGACGCCATGGTTATCTACAGCCCTCTGCAGCCGTTCCCCTCCAGCACATGGGACTGGATCGGACTCTATAAGGTTGGCTGAACAACAACTAATCACCACTGGCAGTTTAAATGTGACATTTCAGCGTGATAACATTGAATGTGTGTTTAAAAATTCAGGTTGGATTCACCAGTGTGTCGGACTACATCACCTACACGTGGGTCAAAGACGACGAAGTGGCCTTTAATGAAGAAGTCATACAGGTAGAACCAGTCACTCTGTTGTGACACATTGGAAAGGTATCAGAGAAAAAACTGATGATGTAATAAAAGGTAGATGTATGAATAAAAAGTGTCTGTTTTCACAGGTGTATGTTAGTAAAGAGGAAATCCCTGTGCGGGGAGGAGAGTGTGTGCTGTGCTACTTCAGTAGTACTCTGCAGTGCATCATTGGAATCAGTGATCCATTCAAGGTGAGGAATAAACACATACTGTACACCAAGATTAATCTGCTAATAGTAATGATAATAATGACCCTAAATGAAGACTATTGGTAGACAAGGAGTATTCTTAGTCGGGGGGCAGCTTTACTAGAATCATCACTTGAAACTGAGTCCCCAGTCTGACCTGCTGGTCTCTCTCGTAGGTCCATGAGTCTAAGGTAGCCAGTGAGGAAGGCCTGGAGCCGGAGAAGATCAACGGACTCAACCAAACCGTAGCCAGCGACGACTTTTGGAACTGATCTATGAGGAGTCGTAGATGTGGTATGATACAGAGGTGGATCTGCCTGAACCACATCGCGTAATTTAATTACTGTGTTTCCTGATTTGTCTCCAGAGGAGCAGATCAGGAAGCGTTGCCTGTTCATGCTGTGACACATCCCCACTGACCTCTCTAATGCTACTGGTGTGGCTGTTAGGCCTCGTTCAGACATATCCAGAGTTTATCCAGATTAATTTTAGAAAGGCTGTATGTAAAAAAATAACCCCACATGAAATGTGATTTTTGCAAATCAGATCCAAACCACATTGGAGGTGGTTTGATATCGGATTTCAACAGATGAGATTCAGTCCGACAGCTCTGCCCTCTCAAATTGGATTTTCAAGTGTTGTTTGTGTCATGACACACAACGTCATACATGAGCCCAATTCATGCTGCTACGAGCAGAGCAATATGGGCGAAAGGTTGCTGCTCTCTGTCGCTGTTTGATGTGAAGGGTGAAAGGTTGGACCTCCATTTCTCATGCTTGCATGTTGAAATGACACATCGCCAGCATAGCTACCAGAGTTTACGCTACACTTTTGTTTTTTTGACGGCCAATATGAAGTATATTTTAAATATTCATGTAATAGCCTACATTTAAAGGCAATAAAACATTTTAAACTAAATAACTACTAAACGACTACTCGGACGTTTAGTGACAGACAAAAGAGGAAAAGGCCTCGGTGCGCTAATCGTCACCATAAATCAGGGGTGTCAAACTCATTTTAGTTTAAGTTCCACATACAGCACAGTTTGATCTCAAGTGGGCCGGACCAGTAAAACCATTGCATGATAACCTGTAAATAACGAAACCTTCAAATTTGTTGCTCTCTTCCAGTGTGAAGAAGTAACCTTACAGGTAACTCACATCCTGAAAAGGTCCACAGTCAATAAACAATCCATTTACAAAACAAATGATGAACAGCCTGAGATGAAGGCTGAAAGATGACAGAAAAATAAGATGTTGATGCTATTCTGCTAGCATAAGGTAGCTAGCTTTCACAGCTGCACTGCTGATCTCTCAGCTAAAACTAAAACCAGACTTATGTTTTCTCAAACCCGCCAACCATTAATTTATCATCTCTGTTCTTAGTTGTCCTGGCAAGTTGCTAAATTTTTCGCCATAATGAGTTGATAGTGGTGGTAAATATAATATTTCTTGAGCACAACAAGCACAGTGACTGTCCATTTACCTCTGTCAAGAAACAGGAACTAGTTCATTTGGACCAATAGGTACAGCAGTGCATTTAATTGAAGCAAAGTCATTAAGTGGGTCACATTGAACCCTTTTGGCGGACTGGTTCCGGCCCACGGGTCATATATTTGACACTCCTGTCATAAATCATCAAGCCTGCTATTTACTGTCTGGCTCGCCATCATGGAGTGAAGCGTATCGTCAGTGGATGTGGCGTAAGCTCTGAACAGGCACGGACGAACTCTGTATGGTTTAGGGGGATAGTTAATATCCCAAAATCTGGTCTGCTGATTTTAGTTTATATTTAAGTTGTCCGGGCAACATATCCTATAGGTCAGTTGTTTGATACGCTATTAGAAAGTTTATTTATTTGACATATTTCCAACCGGACATTTAAGGTTTTGATATTTTCATCTGACGGTCAACCACACGCGATACACTTAAAAGCTGCCGGCTAACGTAAACTCTGATGGCTGCGTAGTTACTGAGACCTTCGTCGTTACCATAGCAACCCATGCAGATAGTTTGGTGGTGTCCAGACACACAAATCCGATCTGATCACAGCTCAGAGCAGACGGTCTGTCTTTGAGATCTGATTCAAGGACCAAATCTGATTCACCTTCAGTCTGAACGCAGCCTCAGCTACTCTCACATCTGTGGTCAGAACACGACTTCCTCTGTAGGGTCATTTTCTCTACGTACGTTTACCAGAATTTAAACTTTGACTGAAACAATACAAAGGTGGCATTTAAGATATGAAGTGCTTTGATTGAACATTATATGTTTGGTTAATGGGGACTGGGATGTAACAGGTTATAGATAAAACAGAGGGTGAGGTATGTCATAGGATCTGTACAGTCTGCTGCTGTGTGTGAACAGCTCCATTATGTGTGTAAACTCTGTGTTTTAATGCTGAACTTTTAACGCTCTCACAGCTGCTTTGTGTGGCTGATAGAAACGCTGGATCACTGAATAGTTTTGCTTGTTTGGAGACGTGAAACACTCCAGCTGAACTTCACCTGACTGCTGCACTGATGAAAAGGGAATCGCAAAATTAACTAAACTCTTTGGCTAGTTTAGTGTCAGCTGTGTTCATATGGAGTTACTTTGCAGTGAGAAATGAGCAAATTAATGTTCACTGCTTCCTTAGCAAGTATGAAGAGAGAGGTTAACTTAAGTCATTGTGTGGATGTGATTAAGATGCATGTTCATGGCAAAGCTAATACGATGCTGGAGTTAATAGCAGTTTTCACAGCAGATGCCTCCATTAGTAGCTCATATTAAGTTTCCTTGTTTTCATTTTAATCTAAGTCAAAGCTTTAAGATCAAGTGCTTGTTCAGGAGATAATCAGAGCTTCAAACCTGTGGGTGAACCAATAGGCTAAAGCAGTGGCTCCCAGGTGGTGGGTCGTGGTCCGAAAGTGGGCTGTCAACTTGCCAACATGTCAAGTTTGTTAAAAACACACTTTATTTTAAAGTGCAGGGAATTTCCAGCACAGAGCTTTTATTTTGAAGTGCCGTTTCCTGCTGTAGAGTGCGTGACTTACAGACAGCTACTTAACAGAGACAGCAAAGTAGCTCGATGACATGACAGAAGTATGACACTGAATATATTAAACTGTATGGACCTTGAACGAATGACTGTGGAGAGATCTGGACCCCGTGTGCCTGGACCAGTTGGGAACCAATTTTTTGGTTTGGCTAATTAATCAGTGCCGATTTTTACAAACTGTCGGTATCAGCAGAAGTTTTTGCTTGGACTGCAACAGCTGGTCCAGTGCTGCCAATCAGCTATCGACGTTTTCCTGCTCCAAACTGTCGTCATTATATCCAGCACCACCCGAGCCTATCACAAGAAAACACTTTGTAGGCCAATTGAAATCCAATGAATCAATCGCAGCTGCCTTAACACCACCAAGCACTCTCAGTATAGCTCCTTTGGAACCAACAGTTCCGCTAACTTTGCTGACCGATACAAAAATGCGAGAAGGTAAGGTCCTGTCTTGAGCCAGGGTTTAGTTTGTCTGTTTTGGGCTGCTGCAGAAACATGGCGGTGCAACATGGTGATCTCCATAGACGAGGACCTGCTCCCTATGCAGATCAGGACAGCTCATTCTAAAGCCCCATTGAAACAAGATGGCAGCTATTTCTGCGAAATCAGTCTGCAGCTGATCCTGAGACAAAACAGGACAAGGTCCAAAACCTGAACAAATTTAAAGGGAAATTTCGGTTTATTTCAACCTGTCTCCTATCGTCCTAAATTTGTTTCAAGTGATTAGTGACATAAAAATAATAGTTAGCATGTTAGCCGTTAGCCTAGATACAGCCGGGGCGCATAGTAGCGTCAGACCTGTTAAAACGTAAGTGAACGGGCAACCTTCAAGTGCAAAGTTAGTCCACTAAACAAGTTTTTTTTCCACAAAGACCGCCTCATATCATTAGGATAAATGTCAGAGAACATATAGAAAACGACATGTAAACGTGTTGTCTTACCTTACCGGTGTGCTGCCATGTTTGTTTACCATTTACCTCTGCTTCCCAAAGCACGGCCGAAATATATCTCGCGAGAACAAGCAGCGATCTCATACCGTGCCTGAAATCTCGCGAGAACAAGCAGCAACAGCTGTAAGGCAGAACCGGGCAGTAGCCTTAAAAGTTCATTCATTTATTTTATGAAAGATTTATAGAATAATGGCTGACTTTTTGCCAGACTTAAACTTTGTGGAGGAGGAATTTGATTTTGCAGAGTTTGATGGCCACCCTTATTGATTTGAGCCAGAATACACTGACGAAGAGCTTCGTGAAATTGAAGAACGGAGGAGGAGAGAGAGAGAGGCGCAACAGGTAGAGGACGAGAGAGGAGGAATGGCTGCTGCAAGGCTGCGTAGCTCTGGAGATTGGTGGTGTACCTGTGAATGCTGTGCCCCAGTGCCCACAGAAGAGGAATGCCTCTGTTGCAAGGAATGGGACCAGTTGCAGCCTTATTTTCAAGGTCTGGATGTGACCGAGGACGAGACACCTCCACCTGGAGTAGTATCCAGCTGGGCTTTATCTAGAGCTTGCGAGATATATTTCGGCCACACTTTGGAAAGCAGAGCTAGATGGTAAACAAACATGGCAGCACACCGGTAAGGTAAGACAACACGTTTACATGTCGTTTTCTATATGTTCTCTGACATTTATCCTAACGATATGAGGCGGTCTTTGTGGGAAAAAAAGCTTGTTTAGTGGACTAACTTTGCACTTGAAGGTTGCCCGTTCACTTACGTTTTAACAGGTCTGATGCTACTGTGCGCCCCGGCTGTATCTAGGCTAACGGCTAACATGCTAACTATTATTTTTATGTCACTAGTCACTTGAAACAAATTTAGGACGATAGGAGACAGGTTGAAATAAACCGAAATTTCCCTTTAATGGTTGAAACTTGTTTATTTATGATTAGTAATGTTTTTAAGTTTGATATGGCAACAAATTTGACCAATTTTAGCAACAGTAACAAGAGAAGACACTGTTAATTAGGAAGTACTTGTTTGAAGACATTTAGACTTTACTATCGTCTTGTTTGAGATCATTCAGGCTTAATTATTGTTGACATTGCTTAGTTTCTCATACTTATTGGGTCCTATTGATCCCAAAGAGCTAGAAGAAATTAAAAATACATATCAAACAAAAAATCGGGTCTCAGGAGGATATATATCTAAACACTTGAAGATCCACTCATTACTAAAAGTCTGTCTCATCCAAGAGACAATAAAAACTAAAGTGATGGTCAAAGTTGTCACAGTGAAATTTACGGTGTGCTGATGGATTCACGTCATCAACTCATGCATTGAGTAACATTACAAGTTAACGTTCCACCTTAAAAGTTGCCGGCAGTCGGCCCAGTGAATGAAGTTATTGTTTCTCAGACTCCAGCTGCTGTGAGAGGCAGCAAAACATCCTTTCATTTTATAGTTACAGTTTACTAATAAAACTCTCCACAGTATGAACAGTGGTTACATGAGCCTCAAAACCAGACACAACTCAGCCCTGAGCAGAGTGACCGTCCTCTACTGACCAATCAGACTGCAGTGTTCACAGCTCCACCTTTTAGTA